ATGACACAAAAAACAATAGATACCAAAAAACGGAGCACGCTAACATCTGCAATGGATACGATGTCTTCTATATATAATGTCATGTTTTTTCTTTAACAAATGCCAAACAAAAAAATAAGAACCACTCACTTTTTATTTTGAGGGAGTTTCAGCACGGCAGACCGATGTGGCAGCAAAGCAGAGAGATAAACTGACAGTCCTTGAAATTAGAAGTTTAGGTGATGTGTCCAGGGTTAGTCCATAAGCAATGTCCTTTATCCAGTCCAAGGTTGTTCAATAGGAGACCAAGCAGTATTGAAGGAAATTCCAAAAGCAATGTCAAGGCCAGTCCGAGTTAGTTAACCAGGTAATCAAAGATATAGGGGTATGAAGAGGAGATTCAGAAAAGGGTCCGGTGATGGAACACATGGTCTCTCTAGGAGTGATCCAAATGATTAGCAAGGAAGTTGATGCAATTAATCAGATTAACACATTAATTGTGCCCTGAGGTGTTGGAGATTGGAGTTTAAATAACCAAAGGAGTGTGTACTTCCATGCCGTCTTAAAGGGCCAGTAATAAACAAATAAAATTCCTGACATATAAACTGAAAAAAATATTAACAATATATAGGGCAGACTATCTGATAACACAGAAGGGGAAATACAAGAGTATGTCTGGGAGGAAACTCACATGTACCAGAGCCCTATCACCAGGAGTTTGAATTGCTCCACTTGACAGGGATATTTCCCACAGTTTACATCAGGACAAGCGACTCCCTTCCATCAGATATAATACCATGAGCTTCTATGCATTAAAAGAGAATAGAGAGGCAAGGACCCCAAATTGAATAATATCTTAGCACAATTTATTAGTATTAAAAGTTAAAAACTCTTACTCAGGGACGGATTAACATAGGGGCTGATGGAGCTGCAGCTCCAGGCCCAGGCCCAGGCCCAGGCCCATTACACACTATCCTTAGGTTTGCCACCTGACTGGTATTTTACTGGCACAGCTGGTATTTGAGGCTGCCTGGCCAGTGACAGTATTGTAGTAATACCGGCAATACAAATGGAGGTATTTTTCTCAGTATAAATGGAGATTACTCTGCAATACCAGCACCAGCCAGTAGGGGTCACTGTGTGTGGAGAGGGATAGCTTATAGGTTAAGTTACAGCGTATCCTTCCCTGCCTTTCTCTACTACTCACTGATCCGTGGTGGAGCTGCTACACAGCACAGAGAGTCCAGGCAGGAGCTCTACAGCTCAGGTAAGTGAGGGATGGGGGAAAGGCAGCATGGAGATATGGGGACACTGAGACACTAAGGGACACTGAGAAACTAGGGAACACATGGGGACACAGACACTAGGGGATACTGGGAAACCTGGGGACAGTGAGACACTTGGGGACACTGGAAAACACGGGGACACTGAGACACATGGGGACAATGAGAGACATAGGGACATTGGGAGACACAGAGACACTAGGGACACAGTGTCTGTATCCCCATGTCTCAGTGTTCCTAGTGTCTCAGTGTCCCCTAGTCTCCCAGTGTCTGTGCCCCCATGTCTCCCAGTGTCCCTAGTGACTCAGTGTATCCATGTCTCCCAGTGTCCCCAAGTGTCTCAGTGCCCCATGTCTCCCAGTGTCCCCAAGTGTCTCAGTGTCCCTGGGTCTCTCAGTGACATGGGGACACAGTGAGACATGGGGAAACTGGGAGAAATGGGAACACTGAGACACTGGGAGACTAGGGGACTGGGCGACATGGGGACACTGACACTGTGATACATAGGGACACCGAGAGACTGGGTGACTTGCGAGAGTGAGACACTGGGAGACAGGGAGACACTGGGAGCAATCCATCTATACAGGAGAATCAGACTGTGAGTAGTTTGTTGGTGAATTTACAGAATGTTCTCTTAGGTCACTCCTTGTGATTTACATCATGTGATGTCACGCATAACTAATTAATTATTCAAATGTATAAGGCTGGTATTTTTTTCCAAGAAAGGTGGCAACCCTAACTACTCTTCACATACTCTTGCTTAAAGGAACACTAGAGGGTCAGGAACACAATTATGTATTTCTGACCTTATTAGGTTAAAACCACAATTTAGCGCCCCTGTCCCCTTTTGCCTCCTTAATTATAGTAAACTCTTACTTGTATTCAAATATGCAGCTCTGTCCCTGTCTGCCTCTGAACTTACTCATTCTGCTGACATAATCAGAAGTGGTGGTCTGCGCAAATTACAATGCTTCCCCATAGGATTGGCTGAGACTGTCAATTAGGCAGATCAGGGGCAGAGCCAGCACAAGTCAAACATAGCCCTGGCCAATCAGCATCTCCTCATGAAGATAAACTGATTCAATGCATCTCTATGAGGAAAGTTCAGTGTCTGCATGCAGAGGGTGGAGACACTGAATGGCGGTGCTGCACACTATGCAGTACTGCCCCAGGAGGCACCTCTAGCAGCCATCTAAGGAGTGGCCATCAGAGTTATTTTCTCTGAAAAGACAGTGTTTACTGCAAAAAGCCTGAATGGAATGATTCTTCTTACCAGAACAAATACAATAAGCTGTAGTTGCTCTGGTGACTATAGTGTCCCTTTAAGTATTGAAGCTTAAGAGGGATACATGAGAACAAAACCTGTGTGGACTGGCTGACAATAAAATAAGTTTAGATAATGCAAACTTTGGTCTCTCTAACACTGTGGCATGTCCCATTTCTTCTACACTCACTACATACACCTTTTCTCTGTCCCAGACTGTATACCAGAAGATTCTGTCTGTTAGTAAGACGGTAAGGAGACAAGTGGACATGTGAGTGCTAGGGGACAGTCCATAGAAAGCTTGGAGTAGGAGCATCATTTGATGCATTTATGTCAAGTTCAGGGTGCTGCCTGCATAGTATGCCCTTAGTTGAACAGCCTGCATGAATGGCAGGCAGCCTGACATGCATTCATGCCAGGCTGGCCTTCCAATTCTTTGGATAAACATGCCCCCTTTTTGGGCATGTCTACCCCTTTTGGCAGGTCTGGTCATGTGATTCGCGCCAGTGGCACACTCTTTTACACTGCACATTGACTTCCTGCTTCACTGGACACTGCTGTTAGGGGGTATGGATTTATTTGAAAGATGAAAGCATACAGTAGAGAGAGAGATTAGCATAGGGTATGTGTTTTCTTATAGCTGCATCCTTTGAGTTTCCCTCCAGCAACATCTCCATCAGATACATGATGCTTGGGAGGTATGACTGTTTTAGTGTTTTTGGTCGATAAGATTCTGTAATTAGGCCCATCATAATTGTCAGCACCAGGCCCACTGGGCTCTTAATCTGGCCCTGCTCTTACTTTAAGTGGTGGGTTTGCCAGCAATAAACCCACAACTCGGCATGCAGAAAAAAAAAAAATATACAAAAACGGTAGCAGCTTGTAGTTACTTCCGGGTTTTGGCAGTGTTCAATCACATGACAGCTTGGGACCGCCTCTCGATGACGTCAAACGTGACGGGTTTCGCCCGCCTACCCGGGCTTCTTCCGACCTGGGACTATTGTTGTTGTCCAATGTTTAGCTATTGCAAATTTCACTGCCGTCAGACAGTATTTAGCAAAATCCCATTTATGTTTCATCATTCAATTATTTAATTCTATATGTAGAAGAAAGACTTCCGGCCTTAACTTAATATTTATTTCACAATACGATATTTTCCCCCAAAATTGCAAAGGATGGCACAACCACCACACGTGGGCAAAGTCCCCTCTCCCCACTTCATAACTCCAGCACAAATCCAAACAACTCAAATAGATTTTAGATAATACCCTTGGTACCCTATAATCTGTTCATAGTATTTTAATGTGTTCCTGGTATATTCAAACAGTGGATTAGTTTATTAAAGGGCCACTATAGTCACCCAGACTGCCAGGTCCCCCAGGTTTTAACCCTTCAGATGTAAACATAGCAGTTTCAGAGAAACTGCTATGTTTACATTGCAGGGTTAATCCAGACTCTAGTGACTGTCTTCCTGTCAGCCGCTAGAGGTGCTTCTGTGACAATGGATGCAAAAATCGCATTCAGCGTGCAGAATGTCCATAGGAAAGCATTGAGAAATGCTTTCCTATGGACCATTTGAATGCACGCTCGGCTCTTGCCGTGCATGTGCATTCAGCTCCACTCGGGAACTGACGTCGGCGGCTGGATTAAAGTAAATAACTGAAGGGGTTTTACCCAATTCAGCGCCAAGGGAGGGGGGCCTTGAAGGTGGGGGGTGCCTAAGGGTATATATATATAGTTGAGCGGACACCTGGATGTCCGGGTCCGGCGGGTTCGGCTGAACTTTGAAAAAAAGTTCGGGTTCGGGCTCGAACTTGACCCTGAACTTGACCACGAAACCCGAACCCTATTGAAGTCAATAGGGACCCGAACTTTTGGCCACAAAATTCCCTCTAAAAAACTCCTTGAAAGAGCTAGAGAGCTGCAAAAGCAAGTAAAATGGGGGATGTGAATATGGAAATCACTTAAAATAATATAAAAATTAAAAATACAGCTGAGCCATAAAATAGCACTAGATGGAATCTTTGATTTTAGCTTTGGAAGAACATAAATCAAAATCTAAAGCATGGCTGTCAGGAGGATCAACAGAATTATCCATTTAAGAGAGAGGGTTGGAGTGCACGGTATCCTCTTTCATTGTTCAAACTGAGCTCAACTCCTGATGCATAGAGAAAAGGCCTTCACAAGCCTCTGCTATTGTGTACATAGTTTATACTAAGTGACCCATAGGTTGAGGAGGCGGTGACCGTGGCGCTGTAGGTGGAAGCGGCGGTGGAGGAGGAGGTAGCCAACACTGTTTTTTATATATATATTTTTTATTTTAATTGGGGTAGCCTCCAAAATATTGGGACAAATAAAAAAAGAAACAATTGCAGCCTGCGGTGCATTTCTTGCAGTACTGATGCATGGAGAAATGCTCAACTCCTGATGCATGGAGAAAACGCCTTCACAAGCCTCTGCTAATGTGTACCTAGTTTATACTAAGTGACCCATAGGTTGATGAGGCGGTGACCGTGGCGGTGGAGGAGGAGGAGGTAGCCAACGCTGTTTATATATATATACATATATTTAAAAATATTGGGACATATAAAAAAAGACAACTTTGTTCCGCAGAGTAGCTGTTGACATTATAGTTGCGCAGGAACTTTGACTCTAGAGAATCTCGGGCAAATCGCACATCCCTGTGGTGGCGACTTTGCATGCGGATGTCATCCATATCAACTTTCAATGCCAGTTTCTGCGCCTACCATGGTGACCACGGGTAACGGGGAATCAGGGTTCCATTCCATACAGGGACCCTGAGAAACGGCTACCACATACAAGGAAGGCATCAGGCGCGCAAATGACCCACTCCCGACGCGGGAAGGTAGTGACGACAAATAACAATACAGGACTATTTAGAGGCCCTGAAATTGTAATGAGTCCATTTGAAATCCTTTAACTCTGATCAATTGGAGGGAAGTCTGGTGCAGAGTCACTGACCCGTGCATGCTGCAGCTGAAACCTCATGTATGTACGTAGTGGGGAATCGCGATGCAGCCTAGAACAAAAACCAGGGGTCAAGTCCTGTGGAAAAAAGTGTGGGAACTCACCCAAGATTCCCGCCTCACCCCACCTCCCTCCTTAAAAAAAAAAATTACATTCCTATGCATATAGTGCAGTGCAGGGTGTGTATAATGAATGTAGTGTGTTTGTAGTGAATGCAGAGTATGAATAATAAATGTGTGTTTGTAGTGAGTGCAGTGTGAATAATAATTGTAGTGTATTTGTAGTGAGTGCAGAGTGTGTATAATGAATGCAGTGTGTTTTTAGTGAGTGCAGAGTGTGTATAATGAATGCAGTGTGTTTTTAGTGAGTGCAGAGTGTGTATAATGAATGTAGTGTATTTGTAGTGAGTGCAGTGTGTATAATAAATGTAGTGTGTTTGTAGTGAGTGGAGTGTGTATAATGTAGTGTGTTGGTAGTGAGTGCAGTGTGTATAGCGAATGCAGTGTTTTTGTAGTGAGTGCAGAGTGTGTATAATGAATGCAGAGTGTGTATAGTGAATGTAGTGTGTTTGTAGTGAGTGCAGAGTGTGTATAATGAATGTAGTGTGTTTGTAGTAACTGCAAATTGTGTATAATGAATTTAGTGTGTTTGTAGTGAGTGCAGAGTGTGTACAATGAATGCAGTGTGTGTAGTGTGTTTGTAGTGAATGCAGAGTGTGTATAGTGAATGTAGTGTGTAGTGAGTGCAGAATGTGTATAATGAATGCAGAGTGTGTATAGTGAATGTAGTATGTTTGTAGTGAGTGTATAGTTAATGTAGTGTGTTTGTAGTGAGTGAAGAGTGTGTATAATGAATGCACTGTGTGCGTGTGCTGGATGATGTGTGTGTGCGCGCTGGATGACATGTGTGTGAGTGCTGGATGATGTGTGTGTGCGCGTGTGCTGGATGATGTGTGTGTGCGCGTGTGCTGGATGATGTGTGTGTGACTGCGTGTGCTGGATGATGTGTGTGACTGCGTGTGCTGGATGATGTGTGTGACTGCGTGTGCTGGATGATGTGTGTGTGAGTGCTGGTTGATGTGTGTGTGAGTGCTGGATGATGTGTGTGTGTGTGAGTGCTGGATGATGTGTGTGTGAGTGAGTGAGTGCTGGATGATGTGTGTGTGTGAATGCTGGATGATGTGTGTGTGAGTGCTGGATGATGTGTGTGCTAGATGATGGGTGTGTGTGTGCATGGGTGTGTGTGCTGGATGATGGGTGTGTGAGTGCTGGATGATGGGTGTGTGTGTGCTGGATGATGGGTGTGTGAGTGCTGGATGATGGGTGTGTGTGTGCTGGATGATGGGTGTGTGAGTGCTGGATGATGGGTGTGTGAGTGCTGGATGATGGGTGTGTGTGTGCTGGATGATGGGTGTGTGTGTGCTGGATGATGGGTGTGTGTGTGCTGGATGATGGGTGTGTGTGTGCTGGATGATGGGTGTGTGTGTGCTGGATGATGGGTGTGTGTGTGCTGGATGATGGGTGTGTGTGTGCTGGATGATGGGTGTGTGAGTGCTGGATGATGGGTGTGTGTGTGCTGGATGATGGGTGTGTGAGTGCTGGATGATGGGTGTGTGTGTGCTGGATGATGGGTGTGTGAGTGCTGGATGATGGGTGAGTGCTGGATGATGTGGGGGGGGGAAGCATTTTTTTACTTTATATATAATATTTATTTTATTCCCCCCTCCCTGCTTCTTACCTTGTCAGGGAGGGGGGAGATCGCCTGGTGGTCCGGTGGAGGGAGCCAGCCACTGCACACAGGAGCCATCACACGCTGTGTTCCCTCTCCAGCTCTAACTCTCGCGAGACTCGCCTGTGCGGAGCGTTGCCATGGTAACAGCCGCGGGTCTCGCGAGAGTTATAGCTGGAGAGGGAACACAGCGTGTGATGGCCCTTCTGTGCAGGTAGCAGGGCCGGTCCTGCAGGACAGGTAACGGCGTTCCTGCTTTGGAAAAAGTGCAGGAACGCCGTTCCCATGCGTTCCTGCAGGACTCGAGCCCTGACAAAAACTAACCCCATTCAACCCCCCCAATAACGACAGACCACTTAGTATGGATGAACAGGCCAAAGCATTCATTACACAAACTAAATTACTGCATAACACATCCATAACTTATTTATTAAATCTCTTCTTTTTCTGTAACCAAAACGTTAGACATAAAAAAGCCTAAATTAACATATATACATATATAACTCCACACATAGTGTACAGTGACCCAACCGTCCTTGCCAATAAACATACAGTGGTTCCTCATCACCACTTCCTCTCACCTCCCCCCTCATCATGAAAATCATATCTTTCCAATGCCCGCCATCAGCCGACCTTATCCACGCTTGATGGGCACAACACCTCAGGCAACCTAAGCAGGGGAGGTTGAGACCTTAAAAATTTGTTCATCTCATTCTATATACTTAAATGTAACCCCTCAAACTCAATTGGCAAGGACATACCCCCGGCTAGCTGTGACGAAATATACCAATAGGGCGGGCGGGAGGGAAGCTGTTTGCTGGCCAGAATGCCAAGTGGCACTGAGGTAAGACCTCCCCCACACTAACTTACACAGAACATAATCCCACCCACACACTCTTTCCCAACCAATCCCTTGCATCTATCCCCACACTCCTACATGTGCCCTTGTCCGCTTAGCTGCGCTATCTCCCCAGGTCCTCTATTGCTTGCTGCTTGCAAAGTCTCATGAGGCGGTGGGAAGGCCGAAGTTACGCTGCAGCGCAGACAGGCGACAAAAGCGCGCACAGCCGCTACAGTGAATGTCACATCTAGTTCCAAGTTGCGGATCAGTCTGGTGATGGCTTCTGGTATCAAGTACTCTTTTTACTGAAGCTGCATCAGGGTTCTGGTATGTGGCCGCACAAACGCTGGTGCTCAACACCAGGGGGCGTGCGGTTACAATGCACCAGACCCTGCTAATCCATTCCACACTGTGACTCCTAACTTCAACATCAGGCATACTGGGACTCAGTCGTCCGACCGCCACCCTGACAGTGTCTGGGTCCTGGTCACCGGACTGCCCACCTGACTGAAACTACGAATGGATCGTTTAATCTGGTACAGACTGCAAAGTTCAGGTTTGCTCAAGTCTATTATAGATCCTTTGATCGCTGCATGTATTACTTGGATAGCTGGTAATTCTCGAGCTAATACATGCCGACTAGCGCTAGGGGACGGCCGCTCCTCTTTTGCACCCTGCTCCTTTTTATGCTGTGCTGGTGCCTCTGTGCGACCAGTGCCTCTTCCTCCAAACTGCACACGTCACTTGCATGACCTTGATTCCATGTGGGGTCTAGGGCCTCATCATTCTCCACATCATCTTCCACTCACTCCTCAACCCTGCCCTCCTTGCCGCTATGCACACTGCAGAAAGCCACAGCAGTTGGCACCTGTGTTTTTCCAGCATGTAAAGTCTGCAAAGGACATATGGAAATTGTTTTAGAATTGTATCCAGGCAACAGTTTTCCCTATAAACTGACCTCCCAATATAGCAGCTTGTTAACTGGTAGTTTCTAGCGTAGAAAATATCAATCTGTTTTCTATGACTTAGATCTGTGTAACAAGTGTTGTAGGTGTGAAACAATATTACAAGTGACCGATGTAGTAAATTCAAATCAAAGTTACGCTTCAATTTGACTCTCAGATAAGAAGTGAACACCCCAAATATACTATTTAGCGCCCCAAAAAATAAAAATTTACATTTTAAAACTCCAATGTAAGCAGCAGATTAGCAGCAAAACAATTACAATGTTTACAAGTGCGCAGTAAGCACACTATTAGACGCTTCGATTTGACTCTCACATATGAAGAACAGGCCCCAAAATGTACTATTTAGCAGTTTAGCAGCAAAACCATTCGAATGTTTACAATTGCGCTGTAACCGCAGTATTAGACGCTTCTACTTGACTCTAAGATATGAAGTGCACGCCCCAAAATGTACTATTTAGCAGATTAGCAGCAAAACAATTAGAATGTTTACAAGTGCGCAGAAAGCACACTATTAGACGCTTTGATTTGACTCTCACATATGAAGAACAGGCCCCAAAATGTACTATTTAGCAGATTAGCAGCAAAACGATTATAATGTTTACAAGTGCGCAGTAAGCACACTATTAGACGCTTCTATTTGACTCTCAGATATGAAGAACACCCCACTAATGTACTACCCCACTAATGTACTATTTATCAGCAAAATAAAAATTACTTTTTAAAACTCCAATGTAACTGCGGTAGTTAAAGCTTCTATTTGACACTTTAGATATGAAGTGCACCCCACCCCACTAATGTACTAGTTTGCAGAATTCTTTCCTAAGCTGTTCTATCAGCGGCAGCATCCTTTCCCTACACTAATAAGACCGCATGTGCGTGCGGCGCTACGCGACTCAAGCTTATATATAGAGGCTGGGTTACATGCATTAGTAGGCATGGCTGTGATGGCTTGTCAGGGCACACGAGTCAAACGCTTGTTGATTGGCTGCCCTGCAGCCTTTGAAAACACGCCATTAAATCACCGAACACCGAACTCCAACCCGAACATACAGTGATATGTCCATGTTCGGGTCCGGGGTCCAAAAAAACCTAATGTTCGGTACGAACCCAAACGTGTTTGTTTTCCTGAAACTATAGTGATCCTTTAACATAGTTTGGTGAGAAGAGGCAATCTATTCTCTCTATTGTGATATTTAAATCAAGTTCCAATTTCCTTAAAGGACCACTATAGTGCCAGGAAAACATACTCGTTTCCCTGGCACTATAGTGCCCTGAGGGTGCCCCCACCCTCAGGGTCCCCCTCCTGCCGCTCTCTAGGGGGAGCAAGGGGTTAAACTTACCTCTTTCTCCAGCGCCGGGAAGGGACTCTCTTCCTCCTCTCCTCCTCCACAGCGACATCATCGGCTGAATGCGCATGCAAGGCAGTAGCCGCGCGCGCATTCAGCCAGTCCATAGGAAAGCATTCTGAAAATCAGAGT